GCACCCTTCTCCGGGCCCTCTGTCATCCGTCCTCTTTCTCTCTCCCCATCCCCACTGCCACTGGCCCTAGGCCTGTCTTGCTGTGATAACCCAGGGGCATCTGGGTTATTGTGACGATTTCTCAGGGCTGCTCTCTGGGATTCTTCTCTCTGAACTGCCACACGAGGCCCCTAGGCAGAAGTCACCAGGGGACAGGCAGCCACACGTACAGCATCAGCTGGGAGTGGGTGAGCAGCAGGGTGTGGAGAAGGTGTGTGTCTAAAAGGGGCAGCAAACTCCCAGATCAGGCCCTCGTAGAAATGTGGGCCCACCATGGCCAGGTTTCCAGGTTTTTCAACAGAAGCCACAAATTTGTATTTTTCACCTGTGAAATCTCCTGATTTGTAGATATTGGCAACTCATTCAGCCTTTTCTAAAATTCTGCATGATTCAAGCACACCCGACCCGCAGGTCTGCAGCCTTTGTAGCCCATTGCTTTGTTGTTCCGCCTGCACCTCCAGGGGCTGTACAGTGAGTGTCAACTTTGGAGTCAGTAGACTCGGGTTCAGAGCACCAGTGCTCACACGTGTTATGTCATACTTGGATATGCTACTTACTCCTAAGAGCAGGGGTCCTCAAACTCCGGCCCGCCACATGCAGCCTGCCGAGGACATTTACCCAGCCCGCTGGGTGTTTTTGCCGCCACTGCCTGTCCTGCTTAGCAGTGGACTCGTCCCGGGCCCACAGTGCGCATGTGTGGAATGTGCGCCGCACTCTCCAACGGTCTGAGGGACAGTGAACTGGCCCCCTGTTTAAAAAGTTTGAGTTGCATCTTTATAATCTGGTCAAAAAGAAAAAAAAATAAAAATAAATAAATAAAAAGTTTGAGGACCCCTGCCTAAGAGCCTCAGCTCCCAGATCTGGAAAATGACCACACCCTAGCATACTTGATAATGTGAACTTCTGTTTATTGAGCACCTACTAAATGCCGAGCAATGTGCTGGTGTTTAATATGTAGTATTTCCGATAGTCACAACAAACGTATGAGGTGAGTGGGCCAAACTTGATTACATTATTAATTTGCCCCCTCAACAAGTATTTAATGAGAGATTGCCGTGTGCCAGGCACTGTGCCAGGTGCTGGCTATTCAAGGGCGAACAAAAGCAGACCCACTCACGGTCCTCATGGAACTGCCAGTCTGGTGCGTGATGGTGTGTTATCAACTGCATGTGAAGGTATGTGCACATAGTCAGAACACCTCGCCACAGTGTGGAAGTATGTGTGAGCGTGCACACACACACACACACACACTCCAGCCCTCGCTCCTATTTTGTCATCCCCAGCATGGGCTATTTCGCCCAGACCAGGCTTGTTATTCAGCCATCTCAAAGTCTTTACTAGTGCTCTCCCGCCCTGAACTTAACCAAGTCTTACTCATCTTCTCTTCCATAAAGTTTTCCAGTTTGCCCTAAACTACCAGGCAACTTTTTAAAATCAGACTTGGCTCTGTCAGTTGTTTAAGAACAAAAATTCAACTTAAAATGGCTTAATTGATGAACCAAATTCAACTTTTTAACTGAAAATCCAGCGTTAATGGTATCAGGCATGGCTGGATCCAGGAGCTCAAATGTGCTCCTGAGAAGTTGGTTTCTCTCTACTGTCAGCTCCGTTTTCTTCTGTTTAGACCCATTCCCAGACTCTCCCCCTCACCCCACATGGCAATATGGCCTTCCTACATCCTTTTAGCTTACTGCCCATCTGTAAGTCTGGGAGTCTCTTTCCCAGGATTCCCTGCAACTTGCATTGCATCTCATTGGCTCTGGATGAGTCACATGTCTGCTCCTGAGCCAATCAGCATGGTCGGGGGATGCAATGTTTCCATGGGCTGTAAGTCACGTGGACCACTCCTGAGCTAGAGAAGGGGTAGCAGATGCCCACCCTGGAACCCTGGCTGAGAACAGAGCCCCAAACAAAAATGCAGGGGCTCCGCTGGAAGGATGCTGACTAGGTGCTCAACAGCCAGAAAACACCCTGCCCCGCTCCCTTCTGGAAACACCGGCACACTTGGATCCCTCCCACCTTTGACAGCTCATCAGGGCTGATGTGTGACCTTCGTCTTTGCAAGCCTGACCTGGCCATGCCCGGCTGGCAGACACCACATGTCCTGTCATCTGTGCAGCACCCCACGTACCCCCAAGACTCACCCTGCACACAGCAGGCATCACGACTTCCCAAGTGAATGAATTCCAAAGTTGCAGGGAGGGGTCGGCGACCCTGCTTGCCTCCTTGGAAATGTAAATTACAGTCTCGTAGGGCTGAACACGCAGCTTCCCTCCTCCCGGCCTCATCACAGGCAGAATCTCTAAATATCCTGAAAAATACACTCCCTCCTTTTTAAAATTCCTCGCCACGTCCGTGCCTTGTCTCAGAGCAGCCCGATAATCAAGTTACCCGGGAATACTCAGGGTTCTCTGGACTGAGGACGGGGACGTAGAACGTCTGCTCTTGTGCCCCGTTTCCGCACCCTGTCCCATGTCTCCCCCGTGAATGGGAAGAGCCCCCCTGGGAGAGGTGCAAGGATGCCTGGGCGCCCAGTTACCGGGGGCCTGGGGACGGAGGCGCTGTAACAGGGCTGGGTGGAGTCAGAGCTGGCTCAGGTCCAGGGTGGGGCCTCCTGCAGGGGGCAGCAGGAGGGAGCCGGCGTTGCCAGCCCAGGCAGAGCCCAGGAGCCCCGTGGTCTGGGCTACGCTTGCGCAGTAAGGTGCCCCTGCAGGGGCAGAATGTCACTGCTGGCCTCGGGGGCCTGGGTGGGAGGCCCAGGTGGAGAGGGAGCAGTGGCCCTTCCCAAGTCCCCCTCCAAAGGCTGCCTGAGCTCTCTGTCCCGTCACTAATCCAAAGGTGGGCAGATGCCACGAAAGGGGTCCCGGAGTCAGGGGTGCAGAGAGAAGCAGCAGTGATGCTGGGTGTTGGGAGGCTCTGGGGCGGTGACATCGCTGCACAGCCAGTCTGGGGACAGGCTAGCAGACTGTGAACTTAGATGCACCCAGCGCATCCTCCTCTCTGTCTGGAGGGCCTCGCTGGCGTGCAGAGATGGCATGACGGCGTGTGTGGTTGCAGTTTGTTGGTTCCTGAAAGAAATCAACAGAGTCCACTGCTGGGAGAAATGACTCGTGACCATGAAGCCTCCCTACCCAGGGGGACCCTGGGACAAAGATAAGGCCAGGCTGCGAAATGCCATCAGAAGGGATCAGGACAGAAGGCTGCTTAGACAAAGCAAGCTGTAGAACTTCTCAGGCCCTCAGTCAAACGTCTTCACTGCAGCCTTCCAGGCCCGCCTGTATAAAGCCCCACCCCCACCCTGCCCGCAGCTGGTCACCGTCTGCCCGTCACACGCTGTGTGTGTTACTCACTCATCTGGTGACTCGGGCTCCTCTCATGGGAACCCAGGCCCCATGAAGCCCTTTTGTCCTTTGTTTTGTCCACTGCTGTATTTGTTGGATGAATAAATGAGCATGTACAGTAGGATGCAGTTAATGTAAAAATGCACAAAGCAGTACTGTTACGCGTACAAGAACGTCGGGAAAGATACTTCCCAGCAGGACCGCGGTTGGAGGTGGTGAGGGGTGATCACAGGGAACCCCAGTGTTGTGTGTGCTGTTTTAACTGTCACAAGGAGCATGCAGGTGTGTGGTTGTCGAGGAATAATGACTGACACTTATTTAGACACACTGCGTGCCCGATACTGTTTGAATCATTTTGCATAAGTTAACCCAAGGCTTGTGAGGTACATACTCTTACTATTCCCAACTGGTGGATGAGAACACTGAGGCACAGAGAGGCCAAGTAACTTAGCCAGGCCACACAGCTAGTAAGGGGTGAACCCAGGATTGGAACCCAGGCCATTTGGTGTCAAAGTCCCAACTGCGGCCCGTGGGCCAACTCTGGCCTGCCAACTCTTTGTACGGCCCTTGAGCCAGGAATGGTTTTTACATTTTCAACTAGTTGAAAAAAACCAAGAGAGTAGTTTTCCTGTGGCGTGCACGTGCAATGGAACGTTACTCAGCCTTTAGAAAGAGGGAGATCGTATCGTACGCAACAGCACGGGTGAACCTTGAGGGCACTGTGTTAAGGAAAAGGAGCAGCACAGGACGGATGCTGCGCGGTTCCACTGTAGGAAGCATCTAAGTAGTCACACGGCGGCGTCTGTCAGGACCCGAGTGGGGGGAAACAGGGAGTTGCTGTTCAACAGGTGTAAAGTTCCATTACCCAAGACGAAGACGTCCTAGAGATCTGCGGTACACGCTGAGCTCATAGCTAACAATATTGTACTGTGCACCTAAAATTTTGTTAAGAGGGTAGGTCTCATATTTTTTTTTAACCACCGTAAATTTTTTAAAAGAGTAATTTTCATGACATGTGAAAAATATATGAGATTAAAATTCTGTCCGCGTACAACGCTTTGCTGGAGCAAAGACGTGCCCGCTCATTTACCCCGTGGCCGCCTTCCTGCTGCAGCCACGGCGATGAGTAGTTGCGACTGAGACACACGGCACGCAGAGCCTAAAACGCTTACCGTTTGTTACCTTACAGGAAAAGTTTGTTGGTACCTGCTCTAAATCACCGTATACTGCCTCCCACTAATCATTTAGTTTGTGAAAAAAAGATAGGCCTGACCAAAAAAGAAAAAAAAGGCCGGGCGTGGTGGCTCACGCCTGTAATCCAGCTCTCTGGGAGGCCGAGACGGGCGGATTGCTCAAGGTCAGGAGTTCGAAACCAGCCTGAGCAAGAGTGAGACCTCGTCTCTACTATAAATAGAAAGAAATTAATTGGCCAACTAACATATATATAGAAAAAATTAGCCGGGCATGGTGGCACATGCCTGTAGTCCCAGCTCTTCGGGAGGCTGAGGCAGGAGGATCGCTTGAGCCCAGGAGTTTGAGGTTGCTGTGAGCTAGGCTGACGCCACGGCACTCACTCTAGCCTGGGTAACAAGTGAGACTCTGTCTCAAAAAAAAAAAAAAGAAAAAGAAAAAAAAATACGAAGGCCTTGGCTCTAGCTCTAGGTGCATCGCTTGTTAGTGTTGTGACCTCAGTTTCCCCATCTGTAAAATGGGTATACTGTCCACTTCTCAAAGTTGACGTGATAATGTGTGATAACAGTGAGGGCGTATGTACATCATGGTTTTCTGGGTGCCAGGCTATTAGTACATTCTTGTCAAGTATTTATACCGCCATCTGAATAAGGGGCTGTTAATTAGGCCCATTTTTTAGGTATAGAAAGTCTGTAAGTCTACAAGGCCTGGGGGTGGCTTTCTGAAGTGCTATCAGTTGGTCTCAGGGTTCTAGAAAACACACCTGGCAGCCCGTGTGGGCCTCCCAGCCATCCACCTTCCTGTTCACAGCTCCAAATCTCTAAGTCCCTCCTCACGGCTCACCCCAGGCACCCAAACTCAGCTTGTCTGGATCTGAACTGGGCATTTCCCTGCCAACCCAGACATCCTCTTTCTCCTGGACCACGCCCCCCAACCTTCCCCCAAATGGCCACACCAGAAGCCAGTGCACCCCACACCTCCAGTCAGTGGCCACGTCCTTTCTCCCCGTCTGCCTCCCAAACAGCGGGACACGGTCCCCACCACCCTGGCCCGGGCCTCCTCATCCTAATGCTGACGCCTGGACTTGGCTCACGTGCTGTGGCCAGAGGGATGGTGGGTAGCTCGCTGGCCCATTCCAGACTAACTGCCCACGGAGGGAGTCAGGGTAGTGTCCTCCCACCCAGTCCGCGTGGATGGGTGGCGTGGGGGCAGGTGCGAGTGTCAGCTGTCATGGCAGAGGTCCCATGGAGCCAGCAGAGATCAGGGAAGACTTGCAAAGGAGTGGCCTTGGAGGAGGTCTGGTAAGGACATGCAAACACCCTGCCCAGCCACCGAGACAGTAATAATTAGGTGACTGTTAGGATTTAGAGCTGGCTGTATGCAGGACACTGTGATGAGCCTCACACCTATTAGCACTTTTACCCCTCGCTCCAGCCTTGAGAAGCTGGAGCAGTATCTGACATCAGCCCCACACTTGCCAAACGGGGAGCGTCACGGAGACCGTGGGAGCCCCTGAGTTGCTCTTCCTGGGTCTCCTCTGCTCCCACCTGCCCCTCCCCCAGAGGTAACGATATCCCGACATGCCTTTATTCTTTCATTGCACGTGCAGATCGCTCAAGGTACACCATATTGTTGTGTGTATTCTTCGACTTTATATAAATGCTATTATACACAGAGTTTGTCACCCAATAGAATATTGTAAGATTTATCTGTATTTAATCCATGTAGCTCTAGTTTATTCTCTGTCACTGCTGTATAATCCCATTGTACATCTTTTGCTGGGAATGAAGGTTAATGGTAGCTTTATATTAATATTTTTTAAAATGTTTAATCACAGCCAAACGGGCCTATAGTTCCAAGATCAAATGGTGAAGATGGGTTTATGATGAAGAGCAACAGTCCTCTTCCCACGACACTCCCCCGCCAGAGGCTGCAAGTTTCTACTGGTGGTTCCCGCCTCGGTCGTTGCCGTTTCCTGACTCATCCCCTTCAGGCACTGACTGATGATTTCCTGTCGGGGTACAGACCCCTCCTTTTCACTCAGAAGAGCTTGCACCATTTTTAGATTCACTGTTAGTTATCTTTGTCATTTTAAGAAATTTTCTAATACCTTTAGTTCATATTCTAAAACTATGGCAGCAGCTCTCCGCTTAATGTATTATATAACATAATTTTTATGTAATGAATTTTATAGAGCCACCTTATAAAACCTTTTTATTTCTAAATACTAATTCATAAACAGTATTCAACGAAATGTATATAAAGTACCAAATGATTTTCTCCCCTTCTTTCCCCTTTTCCGAGTCCTCAGTGCTAATTCATTTCAATATCTTTCCTTCTGGATCTTTCCCTGATGCTCAAAAATATATAAGGTTGGGGTATGACTTCTTGTCTCCACCCTGCCTTTCCTCTTTCCCCGCACACAAAAAATAAAATCTTCCTGGATTTGACTCTGTAGCTTGATCTTACCCTTAATAGTGTATCTTGGACAGCTTTACATATCAGTAACTATAGATGTAACTGCCTTTTTAATTCTGCACATCATTGCATAGTAGGAAAGCAGTGCAAGTTAGTCATCTGCCTACTGCTTGGTCACTGCAATATGTTTTTGATCTGTAAACAATATTGCAGTGACCATCTTTGTGCATATGGATATAATAGATACATGTAGATGTATGAATACCTCATGGTATGTATATATGTTGTCCACTTTACTTTGGGGTAGAAGATAGAGTCCCTTCTTCACCTTTTTTTCTCTGAAATAATATATCTTTTGAAAGTGATAGATTTGAGCAGAGCTACTTTCTAGAAAGCAAAGCATAAATTTCAAGAACTCATCACCTTTAAAAGAGATTAGCAATTAAAAGATTTACTAAATCAAGAAGAGTTTATGCAGAGCTCAACCTCTTAGCTGAGCTTTTAAAGCCCCCAACTTCTGGCCATTTACTTTTCTTCCAACTCTTCTCTTCTCCATCCCAACATGTAAGTCATCCCCTTACTTTTCTGGAGACATTGCTGCATGCCTTTGTGCTGCTCCTTATATTATCTCTGTATGTTACCTGCTGACATTTTATCCTCTTTCCAAGTAGCTAGTTGCCACCCCACCCTCTTTTCTGTTTCTAGAACACAACCTCATTCCTGCCTCAGAGCCCTATGCCTGAAACTTTTCCTCTAGATCAGTGATTCTCAATCCTGGTTGCACATTGCAATTCCCTGGGGAGTTTTTTAAGTCTAATACCTGGGCCTAACCACAGGCCAGTCAAATCAGAATCTCTGGGGGTGAGCCAAGGCATCAGTAAATCTCCCCAGGGGATTCCAGCAATATCCAGTGATACAGATCTTCCCATGCCCAGCTCCTCATCATTCAGGCCTCAACTCAAATGTTACCTCCTTAGACAGGCCCAACCTGACCGCCCTAGCCAAAGTATGTCCCTTATCCCAGCTCCTAGTTACTCTTTGTTACATCTGCTTATTTTCTTCATCTTTCACACCTTGTAACTATTAATATCTTAGTCCTTTATTTACATATTTCTCTGCTCCTGCCCCCAGCATAGGCACTCCAAGAACTCAAGAATGTGCTTCCCCTGCATAACAGTATCCCCAGAGCCTTGAAAAGATGTCAGACTTAGGAACCAAGACTCAGAAGTCCCGGGTCCAACATTTACTAGTTGTGTGACATTGGGCTATTCAGTTAATGTCTCTGTGCCTTAATTGCCTGTTCTGGAAAATAGAGCTTGTCATCATACATACTTTCTAAGACTATATAAGAACTAAATGAGTGAACACAAGTAAACTCACAACAGTTCTTGGCACATCATAAGCACTTGATATTGTTAGCTATTATTCTTTTAATATCTGTGATGAATGATAAATCACAATTCCTCCTCCATCCTCCCTAACCTGTTCTCTGCTTTATTCTCTGCTGAGCTTTGCACCATTTGACATACTGTTTATTTTACTTATTTACTGTCTGTCTGCCACCTTGGCCGTCGACTCCACGAGGGCAGGGATTGCCTTGTTTTGTCACTGCTATGTCCCCAGTGCCTACCACGGTGCCTGGCACATAGTGGACACTCAGTATGAATACACAGATCCTCACGCGTTCTCCTGTCTCTCCTCCACCCCCCAGGATTACCTCACAGACCTCATCACCAATGACAGCGTGAGCTTCTTCCGCACCTCCAAGAAGATGTACCCGCACAGGCCGGTCCTAATGGTCATCAGCCACGCAGCCCCCCACGGCCCTGAGGACTCTGCCCCCCAGTACTCACGCCTCTTCCCCAACGCGTCCCAGCACATGTAAGCCTCAGCACCCTGCCTGCCAGGCGCTGGTTAGCAGGGAGGGGGAGGGCCGGGCGTCAGTAACAATCATGTTAACAACAGGGACAGAGCTGTGCCTTCTCTCTAACCCTCCTGGTTTAAAGAACCCAAGAAGAGTCTATGGTGAAACCGAGAAACAAATCCAGGCAGTCTGACTAACAGAGTGAAACAAGAGACATGAGTTTTAACTTAGGATCCACATCCTCCCAGCAGGAGGTCTGTGGATGGGCCTGCATATCATAGGTTTCCTTTAATCCTACGTATTTTATTTCATACATTTAAAAACGTGCTTCTGAGAAGGGTCCAGAGCGACACCAGACTACTGATTATTTTATTTGCCCACATTTATCGAGCTATGGACGATGTGGCAGGCTCTGCCTTCACATTGCATCAAGTCCCCGCACACTCACAGTGACCCTGATGTGTCAGTCATCTCTTGCCGTGTAACAAGTCACCCCAAATGTAGCACATACCATCACATACCATCTAACAGTGTGCATCTGGGAGTGGCTCGTCCTGGCTCAGAGCCTCCCAAGGTCGTGATCAAGGTGTCACCGAGGCTTACCTGGGGCTCACTCACATGTCTGGTCCTCGCCACGTGGGCCTCCCCCAGGGCTGCTTGAGCGTCCTCACAGCGTGCTAGCTGCCTTCCTCTGGGCAGAGGGTCAGAGAGAGAAGCAAGGCCAAGAGGGAAGCCACAGTCTGTCATAACCTAGTCTTGGGAGTGACACACCTCGCTCTGCGTGTGCGGTTGGTCACACAGACCAGTCCCCTGCAGCGTGGGAGGGACCGTGCAGGGCGTGAAGACCAGGAGTGGGGATCATTAGGGCCATCTTGGAGGCTGGCGGTCACACTCGGGATTCCCACTTAACAGATGGGGCCACTGAGGCACAGAGGGATGAAGGACCTTACCTGAGGTCCCCAGCTGCTACGTGGCACAGCCAGGATTCGAGTCCAGCTCCCACTGACACCTCCCACCTCTGTCTTCCCTCCCCCAGTCCTCCATCCAGCCGGCTTTCAACTCTTTCTGGAAAGTTCTGCTTTTCTCTCCCTCAAACCACTTCCCGCTTAGCAGAGAAGCTCAGCAGCCCTTCTGTGACATTGCAGGGCCGCAGGGACGGGGCAGTCTGGAATCCGCCTGGATATTAATTTCCATCACAGTCAGGACACGCCACGCTCTCCAGGCCCCTGGCTGCAGTGGCTCCGTGACGGCGCCCAGAGCGGCTGCAGCACGACGGTGTGCCAGCCTGCTGTCCCCTGGGCTCTGGGGAGGGGCTCTGACGGAGAGCCACCACATCCCCGGGACTGCGGCCCCGCCCTCACCCCAGGAGGGCTGCGTCGCCTCTGTGCGTGTCTGACTGCCTCGTGCCCCCAAGCCCTCCGCTCCTCTGCACCGGGGACCCAGCCCCCACCCAGCCCCGACTAGGGCCCGTCCTCGCGGGAGGGCGTGTGGCGGCCCCGCCCCGTCTAGGGAAGCGTGGGGTGCACCCTGCTCCCGCAGCAGCCCCTCTGAAGGAGGCGCTGGCTTCACCCCAGCAGCCCTGGAGTTGGCGACGGAACCGTCTGGCACAGCCTGCTCGTCATTTTCCCTTTGGAATGAGGGCGACAGGGAATGAGAATGAGCAGCGCCTGCCACGACTTACCCACAGACCCCCCTCCGCCTCGTCAGGGGCGTGTTTGGAAGCTCTTAGCCTGGAGTATGATCATTTCCAGAACAAAACTGGCAAGAAAAAGGGAGTTCTGCAGCTGGGGTGAATACTGATGACAGTCAGGAAGGGGTGAAGAGGGGACAGGGCCGTGGGGTTCTGGGTCTTGCTGCTGGGGGTCTCTCGTCACATCCCCTCACCCCCACCACCTGCCGCAAGCCAGCCCTGCGGCGCAGCAAATGCTGCTTGACGCCAGCACCATCCCGGGTCCACCCACCGCCCAGGGCCCTTCACCCTTCGCACTGCACACGCACGCAAACACACGCACACACATGCACGCAGACACACGCACAGACGCACACACATGCACACAGATGTGCACACACAGACACGCAGACACACATGCACAGACACACGCAGGCACACACACATGCATTCATATACACATGCACGCAGATGTGCACACACAGACACACACACATGCACGCAGACACACACACACAAAGAAATACACATAGGCAGGCACACAGGATCAGACACATACGAATGTGGAGCACAGGCGCATGCACAGACACACACACACACACCGGCCCTCAGCCCTCCCTTCCAAGTGTGGCGTCTGAGGGGACTTGGGGCCTCGCCCACCCTAACCAAAGCTGGCCTTGGGGCGGTGGGGGCACGGCTCTTGCCGACGCCCCAATACAGTGTGAGCCCCCCACAGCAGGGCGGGCGTCTCCTCCCTCGGGCCTCTGTGAGCACAGGCACTGCGGGCGCTCGGGGAGGCGAGGGTGCTGGATCTCGGTCGGCAGCGCTGGGTCCATGTGAAAATGCGACACGGTCCCCGGGGAGCCCGGCCCGAGCCCGGTGACCAGCTGGCCGGCATCGGCCCCGCGCAGGACCCGGCCCTGCTTCCCTCTGGCCTCGGAATCCTCCTCCAAAGAGCATGCGAAAAGGCTGCGAAAGTCATCCTGCCGCAGGCTCTGGACAAGCGCCGCCCTGGCTGTTCTGGGGCCACCAGCCCAACTTGTAATGGGCTCGGGGACGGTGCTAAAAATTGCATCCCGGAATCTGGCCCTCGGGCCCGCGGGGCGGTTTTCCCACTGCTGGGCTGCTCTGGAGCAGCCTGTCCCCACGGCCCTCCAGCGCCTCGGCGCGGCCACAGGGGACAGCAGTTCCGGTATCAAAGGACGGGCTTAGTGCAGGCGGCCGCGGGTCAGCCGGGGACTCCGAGGGCCAGTCCGGGAGCCGTCTGGGCCGTGACTCCCCTCCCGCCTCCCCCCCGCAGCGGTCTGCGTAGCTGCCAAGCGGCGCGAGCTGCCCTGCCACCTCTCTACCTGGGACCCGTTTGGTTCCAAGACACTGCTACAATCCCGCTGTGGCACTTGCTCCCCGAAGCTCCGGGCCCTCTTACAACCCATTTTGAAAAGCCTTTTGTCTCCAAGCTGTGGCAACTCAACCTGTTTTTGTTTTTTGGTTTTTTGTTTGTTTGTTTGTTTGAGATGGTCTCTCTCAGTCATCCAGGTAGAGTGCCGTGGCGTCAGCCTCGCTCACAGCAACCTCAAACTCCTGGGCTCAAGCGATCCTGCTGCCTCAGCCTTCAGAGTTGCTGGGACTACAGGTGCACGCCACCATGCCCAGCTACTTTTTCAATTTTTTTTGTAGAGACAGGGTCTCACTCTTGCCAAGGCTGGTCTCCAACTGCTGGCCTCAAGCAATCCTCCTGCCTTGGCCTCCCAGAGTGCTAGGATTACAGGCGTGAGCCATGATACCTGGCATCCACCTTTATTTTCAGCTTTCACTGAGGGGAACGTGGCCCTGGTGGCTTGTCACCCGCAGTGTGAAAGCTTCTGTCAACAGTGCACCCCACCCAGCTACCCTGCAGTTGGGGTTTTCCTTAGCTCCGATCCTGGGGCCTGGCAGGAGCTCAGGTGACAGGAGGTGCTCTTGGTCTGGGACTAACACATTACTGGAAGCTTCTGGAAAGTTTCAAGGCCATGAACTGGATTCACTGTGTCTTTCTACTGCTTCACTCCTCCAGCAGGAGCGCGTTGGTCAGGGTCCTGCCCGAGCAGCCGTGGCGTGCGAGACTCCAGACAGGCCACGTTGTCAGGCGTCTGTGAGCCGGTGGCCGGGGCTGGCCCTGTGGCTATTGGGGTTTGCACCCCGGTTCCGCCTTTGGCAAGTTGCTGCCTCTCCTGAGGCCTCAGTTCCCTCATTTCTCAGCCGAGGAGAATGAAAACAGTGCCAGCTCCTAGGACTGTTAAATGAGATTGACGCTAGGTGAGCCCTTCAGGCCCTGCTCAGCCCGTGACATGATCACAGATTTGTCCCCTCAGCATTAGTAATCACCGCTGACCCCATGGCAGTTGTCACAGGGCACGCTGGCCCCATCACTCACTCCATGAGGCAGGTCCCCGACCCTCTCTGACCCTCTGTTTCAGCTTTGATCAGTGGGAGATTACACCAAAAGTGGAAGAATAATCATGACAATTAAAGAGCGTGGCGTGTCCCAAATGCACACATTCTGGTACCGTCTCACGATTTCGGCCATATGTGCATTATAATCATTTCAGTTTCCTTTGTTTTAAACCAAAATCTGTTGCACGAGGACAGTCTGCAGCCCCGCCAGCGGTGGCTGGAAAGTAGGTACGATGCGCACAGAGCGCGCCGCACATGCACGCCCGGTCCCGGCGCCTGCCCGGGCCTCTGCACCCGAGCCTCTCCCGTTTCGAGAGGGGCGAGCGGGCTCTGGAGAGGGTTACAGCCTGGCACCACTGACGGGCCCGAGAGCGGACAGGGACTGGCGTTCTCACTTTAGCTCAGAGTCGTGCAACGCTGCACTCCGCGGCCTCTCACGCCTCCCACGCGGGGAAACGCCGAAATGGGCCCAGCAGAGCCCCCGGGCGGCGTCCATTCGCCCCCAGTGAGCAGAGTCGCCCGGGCTGCGGGGCGGGGCGCCGCTGGCCGGCTTTGGCTGACGGCCGCGTGCGCGTCTCCCCGCAGCACCCCGAGCTACAACTACGCGCCCAACCCGGACAAGCACTGGATCATGCGCTACACGGGGCCCATGAAGCCCATCCACATGGAGTTCACCAACATGCTGCAGCGCAAGCGCCTGCAGACGCTCATGTCCGTGGACGACTCCATGGAGGCGGTAGGTGGCTGAAACCCCTGCCCGCAGGGCCTCCCGGGGAAGGGAGCTGGGCAGAGCGGGAGCGCCAGCCAGAGTGCCATGCCAGCCTGGGAAAGCCCTGAGCAGTCCCGCGGGAAGCTCACATTCTAGATCCGAGCCATCCAGCACGGCAGCCGCACGTGGCAAAATACTTTTTCCTGCTGTTACTTACATCTCTTCTGAGATGTAACTTGCACAGGATACAGTTCGCCCAATTAAACTGAACAATTGGGTGGTTTTAACGTATTCAAAGTCGTGCAGCCATCGGTCACCCTTTAGAATGTTTTCGTTACCCAAAAAAGAGAGACCTCACAGCCCTTAGCCGTCACCCCCAGCACCAGGGGCCACGGTCCAGCCTCATTGGTGCCAGTGTCCTTGGGACACAGCAGGCAGGGAACAAAGTGACAAAAGTCTGCATGGAGCCTAAATTCCAAGGCAGAGACACAGACCGTCCGCAGATGAGCAACAGGGACAGAAGGTGAGAGGTGCCGGGAGAGCATGGAGTGGGGAGGGGACGGGGAGTGACAGGAGGCTGCAGTTACGAATGGGACGGCCCCAGGGGCCTTGCTGAGAGGGGACAGGCAGTTGAGCCAAGACCCAAAGGAGACAAGGGCCGGAGCAGAGGAGGGACAGGCCTGAGATCTGTCGCCCCCGTGCCCACTGCCCCCCCCATGTGTTGCAGATTTACAACATGCTGGTGGAGACAGGAGAGCTGGACAACACGTACATCGTCTACACCGCCGACCACGGCTACCACATCGGCCAGTTCGGCCTGGTCAAAGGGAAGTCCATGCCGTACGAGTTTGACATCAGGGTCCCGTTCTACGTGAGGGGCCCCAACGTGGAAGCCGGCTCTCTGTAAGTGCCTCAGCCCCCAGGGCCCCCGGGTCCCGGGGAGGCCTCTAAGCTCAGCTCGGGGCTCAACCTGTGCAGCCAGGGCCCCAGCCACGCCCCTGGGTGGCACACGGTGTTGGCAGGTGGACCTCGGTGCCAGTGGAAGCACTTATGCCACCCAGGGTGGAATCCGATGCATTTTACACCCGTCTGTTGGGGAAGGAAAGGCCAGGAGCAGTTAGCACCTGTGAAACGGATTGTTTGTGCTGAGGCCACATGCCACATGCCAGGAAATCCAGGGAGCTGGGCGTGTGTGTGTCACCAGTGGGTGGGAATGGCGCTTGGGTTTCTGTTCTGGGTCACTAGGCCTGGAGGTCGTCAGGGAGGAGCCCGGACCTGCGTCCGGGCAGCCGGTCATCCGCTGAGATCAGCTGGGCCAGCGCCTGCAGCGGCCTCCTCCCCCTCCCGTCCCCTCCTTCCTGGAGGACCACGTGGCCGCAGCCGCCGTTCTCCTTGGGTTGGCCTTTGAGATGACACGTTCCGGCAGCAGAAATGCTACGTCCGGGCAGAGGAGGGTGTAGAAAGGCCGTGATCACGGCAGCGGCCTCCTCAGATTAGCCGGGACGTGGTGGAGACCGGCGCGAGTGGCTTTTCTGGAAAGCAGACGTGCTGCCATCGAGACTCTCGTTTGGTCAGACGGCCGTCTGCGCCAGATGCGGGGACACCCGCAGTCGGCGGGCACGCTGCAGATTTCCTGCTGAAAGGGCGTGGACGCCGCGTGTGGAATTCCAGACCGACGTGTCCCGCGCCTCGGACGCCTGCTGACAGTTCCAGGAGGCCGTATGAGTTGAGGTCCAGAGAGGCTGCTGGCTCTCTGTTGACCTCATGACGTCACTCCTGCCTTTCCGTCTGCGTCCCCTCCCGCGGTGACAGCTGTGATAATGACAGCGCACGCCCGCGCTGTGCTCATCGTCCAGACCGCGGTCCAAGCACTTACAGCCACATCATTCATGTCAGCGTCACGGCGACCCTGTGCGGTCGGTGCTCGTAGGTCCCTGTCTTGCACCCGGGGACACTGAGGCCCGGAGAGATTGAGTTGCCGGAGTTCAAACAGAAAACGAGGACAGAGCTGGGGTCGGAAGCCGGGCGGCCTCTGGTCACGCCCCCACACCGTGCACCTCTCGGGGACGTTCAACAGCCCCCGTGAACGCAAAGCAGCTGACCCACGGGGGGCTCCACAGTCCCTGGCACTGTGGGCGTGGCCGGCCGCAGAGGCTGACCCGGCTTCTAGGACCCAGAGCTAGACAAGAGAGAGCGCGCTCAGGTCGGGCTTGGGGCTGGACACACACGGTGTGCCTGTCAGCCAGGGCTCCTGTGGTTGTGAGCAGAAACAACCGTCAAACCAGATGAGGCCAATTAAGATAAAAGGACTGCAGTGACCAAAGTAACTGAAAAGTCTGAGGGTGGCTCTGGCTTTAGGCATGGCTGGATCCAGCAGTCATAAAATGCAATCAGGGTGCTCTTGTGTTCTGTCGCTCAGCCCTGCTTCCTCTGAACTGGCTTCCTTCCCAGGCAGGCTCTTCTCTCCTGGTGGCAGTGTCGGGAGCTCCAGACTTCCAGGTGTCCAGTTCAGAAACCAAACTGGTCTAGAAAGGAGACCCAAAGCTGGTTCTCACTGCCCAGCTTGGGTGGTGTGGCCGTCCCTGAATGACTCACTGTGGCCAGGGGTGACAGGCAGGGAACCAGGCTGAGGGCATCAGGCATGGAATCCGAATGGGGTCAGGTGGTTCCTCCAGCATCGGAAGCTGTTACCGCAGAGCCAGGCATGGTGCGGCTGGGAAAGGCAGGGAGGCGGCAGGCCCTGTCCAGCTGCTGAGGCTGGCGTCAGCCCAGCGCCCCTCCCTCTACAGCCTTCTCTAGCTCCCCTGCCTCCAGATTCAGTTGTCACGCCTCACACTGGCCTTCGAGCCCCTTAATGACTCAGCTTCAGACCCCCTTCCCCAACCGCACCCCAAGTCCCCCAGCACCCTCGGCAGCCTGCCTGATGTTCACGGAGCACTGCGCTGGGGGTGTAGGGTCACAGGTGACTGCAACCCTAGGTGCAGATGTGTGGGGATCCACTTAGCTAGCATGCCGCGAGTACGCACTGTGCCTTCTAAGTGTGTAAGTCCCAGGCATACAGAAGTGACCAGAGATGTTGGCAGCTTGGAGTCTAACTGGGCAGTAGGCAGCACACCAGAGAAACGAGCGAGACATGTAGTCCCCGGGAGGAGATGAGGCTTCAGGAGAAAGAGAAAGCAGAGAAGGGGTGGGAGTGAGGGGGCGCAGTTCTCAGCAGGGTCCTCAGGAAGGGCCTCGTGCCGGGCATCTGTGCCGTGGAACAAATTGCCGCAAACTTAGCAGCTTGAAACGACGCGGGTGTGCGAGCTCACGGTGTGCGGGGGTCACCGGCCGGGGCCCAGCCTCGCGGGTCCCTGCTCAGGCTGGAATCGAGGCGGCGGCCAGGGCTGTGGTCTCATCCGGAGGCTCGACGGGGGCGTGTCCACTCCCCACCCGTTGTGCGGGGGAGTAGGAGCAGAGGGCTCGAGCCACACGGCCAGCCGCCCGGCCTGTTCAAGACCGGGTTGAATGTCAGGTCGCTAACCATGGGAGCGACAGCCCGCCACCTGTGCCACGTTCCGTGGGTCGGCGGCGAGTGCCGTTGGCCCACTGGGTGTGATCACCGGCAGGGGTCCCGGGGCCACTTAGAGTCTGCACAGGCCGCCTCCATGGTGGTTAAGCAAAGAACTAAAGGGGTGAGGGACGGTGTCACGTGCTCTCTGGGGAAGGAACATTCCAGGCAGAGGGGACAGCAGGGACAGGCTGTCGAGGACAGCGAGGGGCCAGTGTGGCCTCAGAGGCCAGGGGAAGGGCTGGGCAGGGCCAGGGTTTGGGCGGGCTCCAGAGGCGGGTGGGAGGGCAGGAGGGGTGAGGCGGGGCCTGTCCGCCCAGCCACGGTCTGTCCTGGCCTGTCCGCAGGTCACAGAGGCTCAGGGGTTGGGCTGGACTCGCGCTGCCGAGGGCAGTGGTGGGGTTGAGGGTTGAGGTGCCGAGTGACGAGGTCACAGCTTCCCCACCTTCAGGCAGCCCCTGGCCCCGCATCCCTCCAGCTGCCCCTCCGAGCCAGGCTGGGGCCCCAATGTCCCTGTCTCCCCAGGAACCCCCACATCGTGCTCAACATCGACCTGGCCCCCACCATCCTGGACATCGCAGGGCTGGGCATCCCCGCGGACATGGACGGGAAGTCCATCCTCAAGCTGCTGGACACCGAGCGGCCGGTCAACCGGTGAGGGGGCAGGCGGGGCAGGGACACGGGCCGGGGAGGGACTCCAGCCCCCCACAAGCGCAAACTCAGGGCCCCAGCCCGTTGGTCTGGGGGGTCATCTCCAGGGGTCAGGGGCCGGGTTCTGGGGTCGCCCACCCAGCCACCCACCTCCTGCGGAAGGGAAGGAGGGTCCCCACTCTGGGGTTCTGTCTTCCCCCCTGAAATATGGCCAGGGTCACCGGCTCAGGCCCCGTCAGAGCTGGAATTATGCGAAGCTTGAGACGGCACCAGCTACAGTCATCACGGCGGCCTTAGCACGAGTCACGTGTTCCAGGCAGGGGTGGGGGTGTCGTCTTGTCCCCAGGGCCTGGGCCTTGTTACCGTCCACGTTCTGCCAACTCGGGCGTGAGCCCCAGAGAGGGCGAGTGCCTTGGGGGAGGCACACAGCACGCCTGGCTCCTGCGCTTTGTGGCTGTGGCGCAGCGGGGGTGGCGGGAGATTGTCCGTGGGTGTCGTATGGGGGGGCAGGAAGGGGACACTGACGGCAGGGGTGGCGGGAGCCTGTCCCCGGGTGTGGTGTTGGGGGGCAGGAAGGGAACACTGATGGCGGGGGTGGCGGGAGCTTGTCCCCAGGTGTCCTGTGGGGAGGCAGGAAGGGACACTGACGGCGGGGTGGCAGGAGCTTGTCCCCGGGTGTGGTGTTGGGGGGCAGGAAGGGAACACTGATGGCGGGGGTGGCGGGAGCTTGTCCCCAGGTGTCGTGTGGGGGGGGCAGGAAGGGACACTGATGGCGGGGTGGCGGGAGCTTGTCCCCGGGTGTCGTGTCGGGGGGGCAGGAAGGGGACACTGATGGCGGGGGTGGCGGGAGCTTGTCCCCGGGTGTCGTGTCGGGGGGCAGGAAGGGGACACTGACAGTGGGGTGGCGGGAGCTTGTCCCCAGGTGTCGTGTGGGGGGGGCAGGAAGGGGACACTGATGGCGGGAGTGGCGGGAGCTTGTCCCCAGGTGTGGTGTCGGGGGGCAGGAAGGGGACACTGATGGCGGGGGTGGCGGGAGCCTGTCCCCGGGTGTGGTGGCGGGAGGCAGGAAGGGGACACTGACGGCTCCACCGAGCCGGCTGGGGCGGGCGGGGACGCCGGCGTGGCCGCAGCGACACCTGGTGGCCGGCGCTGTAACTGCCGCCAGTTGGTGCCCGGCCTGGGGTGCCCCGCGCGCCCTTCCCCCGCGGGTCCGGCCTTGGCGGGCGCCGTGCATGCACCGCGGCTGCATGGGAGGGCGTGGCCCGGCGGCTGGGGCAGCGGCGGGGCGGACAGTGGCACGGGGGGCGGGGACACCGGGAGTCGGGTGCAGGGCGGAAGCTTCCTCTCCCGGACCTCAGAGTCCCCGTGTGGGGCGTGGGAGGGACAGGCATTGCACACGTCCGCTCCAGAGGACCACAGGGAAAACCCCAGACCCGGCCGGCCAACCCGCAGCAACGCAGCCCGCGCTGTGCTGCCCCACGGGGACAGCGACCTCTCCCGACGGGGCCCTGAGACGTGCGCGCGCGCGGTCACGTGCGTGGGACCTCGCCCTCCCGCGTCCCCACCCGGGCGTCAGACCCTTCTGTGCCCGTGTCCCCGCGTCGGACCGAGGCTGGCGCCGTCCCGTCCTGTTCCATGGGACGCGGGGTCATGCGAGGCCCCGCGTAGACGGGAAGCTGGAGCTGTGCTTCCCCCTTGCAGGTTTCACCTGAAAAAGAAGATGCGGGCCTGGCGGGACTCCTTCCTGGTGGAGAGGGGGTGAGTGCGGGCGCGGCGGGTGGAGGGGACCCGCAGCTGCCGTGTTGGGATCCCGCTGTCACCACGCCCCCTGCGTGGTGCCCAGAGCCCCCAGCCCGAGGGAAGCCCGCGGGTGACACGGAATCGGGGCCACGTGTGCCCTTTCCCGTGCTTGTCCCACCCGTGCAGTGTCTTCACTGTCGCCTAACGTGTTTCCAACTCGTGCAATTTAGGACGTTTCCTATAAAATTGCAATTTCTTGAGTTCCGTAAAAAGCAGGAGACCTGGCGGGGTGTGGGCGGCCCTGCCGGGAGGATAGCCCGGGGCTGAGCGGGCCGCCCTGGGGCAGGCGGCGCTGAGCGCCCGCTCCTGCTCGCCCACAGCAAACTGCTGCACAAGAGGGACAGCGACAAGGTGGACGCGCAGGAGGAGAACTTCCTGCCCAAGTACCAGCGCGTGAAGGACCTGTGCCAGCGCGCCGAGTACCAGACGGCCTGCGAGCAGCTGGGGCAGGTGAGGCGCCGGGCTGCGCCCGTTCTCCTATAAGAATCAGCAGGAGCAGGGCCTTGTGCCCAGGCCAAGGCGCGGGCGGTTCCGGCAGTCCGCGTCCAAACGACTCCGTCCCCACTGGACGTGGGGTTGGTACAGGCTTGCCCCTGTCACCGCGCCCCCAACCAGTGTGTATGTGAGCCCCAGACTCCCTCCCGCGCCGTGGGGGCACCCTCGTGGGATTGGCCCGTATGCGCCCGGGTGGGAGTCTTGGAGCCTGCACGTCCCCTCTGCCCAGAGGGGGAGGGAACGGGGGTGACACTGCGGACGCCGCCCCTAAGAGCTCACGCCGAGCCCCGCGGAAGAGCGCCCGGTGGGCTTTGGGGCTGCGTGGCCTACGCCAGCTGGGAGGCGGCAGTCCACGTCCCAGTCACAGCTCCAGGCCCTCGGGGCCCAGGCTGCACGTCAGCCCACGGGCGGGAGGCAGGCCCGGCCCTGCTCAAAAGCCACCCTGAGTCCATGGCCCCGCGTTTGCTCTTGCTCTCCTGCTTCCTGGAATGCCGCCCTGGGTCCCAGGCCCTTCTCTGTGGCCCCAGGGCATCACTTAGGGGACCTCCCGTGACGGGCTGGCACTCAGCCCTGAAGAGTCGCCCTGGGTACCTTTCCTGCCTTCTCCCAGTGGTAGACGTGGATTGGCCCTTCACTGCACAGATGGTTCCAGGAACCGGCCCGAGCACACGGTCTCTCAGCTCCTCCGGGGTGGGGGCTGCCTAGACTCTGTCATCCACCGCCCGTGAAGCCCAGACCGGCCCGCTCCAGGCGAGCGGCAGCAAGTGTGCCTGGGACGTTAGGACGATCACAGTTGACACTTAGAGCTTCACAGGATCAACTCTCACAACCTTCCACACCCCGTTCTGGTGGGGACTTCCTCTGTGTAGGGAGAAACTGAGGCCGGGGGGTCAAGAACGTGCCCAGAGTCTCACAGCTTCAGGTGGTGGAGCTGGGATTTGAACCCACGGTCAGGCTTGGGGACTTTCGTCCTCAACAGCTCTGGGACCCAGAGCCAGGCAGGCACTGCCCCAGCCCATATGACCCCACAAGCACAGCCTGGGAAACTGAGGAAGGCTCAGACCAGGTAGGCAGGGGCAGCGAGCATTCTCCGTGAAAGGCCAGGCAGTAAATATTTTAGGCCTTAGGGTTGTTTTTGTTCTTGTTTTCTACAACTCTTTAAAGCTGTGCAACATAAAAACCATTCTTGCCCGACAGGCCCTATGAAGAGAGGCGGTGGGCGGGAGCTCGAGCAGTGCCCAGCTGAGCTTGTGGGGTTGCAGGGCAGGCGGGGCGGTGGGGAAGAGGAGTCCGGGCAGAGATTGCTCAGTGGCAGGGGCCACTTGCAGCGTTTACAGCTTGGGGGCCACACAGCGGCCAGACTCCTGGCATTTTTTGCAAAATCAGACCTGGCCACGTGGGCCATGCTCCCAGCTGGCAGCAGTGCCTGCCGTCCATCACGCTGCCCGCCCCAGGTCCCTTCTGGGCCATGCCTGCTGGCCCCGCCAGCCCAGTTCTGCACTGAGGAAACCAGGTCGTGGACAGGCTCATGTTGGGAGGGCTGGGGGGGGGTGCGAGGCACAGGAGCCATGAACGTGCTCAAATGCAGCGGCCAGGTGAGAATGGATTGAGGGGGACAAGGTGAGCAGGGGACAAGCAGCAAGGCCCTTGGCTGGTGGATCACAGCTCTTGCTCCTCCCAGCTGTGTGACCAGGGACCAGCCCTCTACCTCTCTGTGCCTCGTCTGGAAGTGGAGATAATGACAGCCCCTGCCTCGTGGGGCCCTGTGAGTTTAGTAAGCGAGTCAACGCACCACCCAGTGCTGGGCGGTGTAACATGAGGGCACAGACCCAGTCCGTGTCCCGGGAAGATCACCTTGGGTTGGAGCAGTTTGTCATGGGATTTAGAAAGTGATTCTGTGTTTAACTTTTTGACAAATATCTTGAGCTGAATGCTTGCACGTACACTGTGACCACACTCAGTCCATCTAGTCCTTGGTAAGGAAGGAGGGGGGATTTTAAATGAGGTGATCAGGGAGGCCTCCTTAAAGAGGTGACATTGGAGCGGAGCCCCGAGGGATAAGAAGGCACCGGCAACACGAGGAGCTAGAGAAGCAACATTCTTGACAGAAGGAACGACAAGTGCAAAGGTCCTGAGGCGGCAGCACATCTGGGCTGAGGAAGAGAAAGGACAGGGCAGTGGCAGGACACAAGGTCCGAGGGGCAGGCAGGGGCAGATGGTGCAGGGCGTTGAAGACCAGGACCAGAAGCTCGGGTCCCACCCTCAAGCCGGCGGGAGCTCCTGGAGAGTTTTAAGCAGGGGAACAACATGATCCAATTTGCCCTTTTAAAAAGATTCCTCCGCTGCCACGTGAGAGGGGAGTTTAGGAGCACAGAGCAGGAAGCCGGGGAGGACGCTGTCGTGGGCATCTTGCGTGGGGGAGGGGGGTGGTGATGGCGGCTCCACCCAAGGCTCAAGCCACGGCAGCAGAGAGAAGCCACGCTGGGAGGTGGCAGGTGTGGGGCTTGGCGACGTCTGGATGGGGGCGGGGCGGGGGGAGTCTCGGGGTGGATGGGAGCGGCGTGGGGTGGGTTGGGGCCCTGCGGTGTGCGCCACCGGCCGCCGTGTCTCGCAGAAGTGGCAGTGCGTGGAGGACGCCGCGGGGAAGCTGAAGCTGCACAAGTGCAAGGGCCCGGTGCGGCTCGGCGGCGGCAGGGCCCTGTCCAACTTCGTGCCCAAGTACTACGGACAGGGCGGCGAGGCCTGCACCTGCGACGGCGGGGACTACAAGCTCGGCCTGGCCGGACGCCGGAAAAAGTTCTTCAAGAAGCGTGAGTGTCGCGGCCTGGGCCGAGTGGGCGGGGGGACCGTGCCCGCCCGGGAGCCCCGTTGGAGCAGTGCCACGGTCACGTGTCGCCCTGCCAGGTGTGGTTCCAGGAGCTGGGGAGTCAGCCACGCCCCCCAGCGCCACCCATGCCAGCGGGCTTGCTGTCACACAGAGGGAGGTCATCTGCAGGTGTGACGGCGCTCTGCAGGGAGGGGGGTGACGGCTTCAGAGCCCCGCGGGGATTTTACTCCCAGTCAAGCAGCCTCCCGTCTGGAGGGCTCTGAGCTGTGGGGACAAGACCAGCTTTGTGTTTTCAAAGTCCCCCTGCAGCTGCCGTGTCAGTGCGCTGGCGGGGCGGGAGCAGAGGCCGGCGCCCCAGCAGGAGGGCCGGGAGGACTCACTGCCCGGTCCTGCCACCGTCGGGCGGGGTCTGCAGGGAGCCACCAGGGG